ACTAATATAGCACTTGTAAATTATTGCTCTTTTGTTGGTTTTGATTGCTTCTATTGTCCTCATTTGTTAGTCGCTTTCGATAAAAGCATCTGCTAAATGACAAAATTTAAATATATTGTAAATGTAAATAACAAACCTAAATTGAAATTTTAAAACAAGCCCCAAATCAAATAAATAAGTAACACAAATAAATAAATCTCTTCATATAAACAAACTAAGGCTTTGTCTGTGCTCTTTCCATTTAAAATTAGAGGCAACCACTGCATTTTAATCATGATCCAAACAAAGATGCTGCATATATTCAACATGAGCAGTTTTTAATCTAAATTAGATTATATAATTTTGAAATTTGAAGCAAAAACAGAATGGTTTGACTTCAGTTTTGTGAAACTATAAACTAAACTATAAATAAAATAAAAATATCAGCATGAAACAGAAACAGCAGACTGAGACGCAGATTCACTCTCTGCCAGCAGGCGGCGCTTAATGCGTTTACTTGGTTTCGGCTGTAAACAAAGCAGCGCTGAACTTATGAACTTTAATATGCATTATACAGAGGCAAGATGAAAAGAAAAAAATACCATCTAAACTTTTCTAAAGACAGTAAGTTCCCCTCAGACATGCATTCATATAAACTCCTACACCTAAATGAATCGCGATTTGTTTAGCATCTCAACCGATTTGAATCGTCACATATTTGAATCGATTTTCAACCGGCTCGCGGTTAATCGTTACATCCCTACTTGAGGGTGAGTAATTTGTGGGCTAATTTTCATTTTTGGGTGAACTAACCCTTTAAGACTGGTTTTGTGCTCCAGGATCACATATAAGTGAAGAAATCTGATGCAAATGAACACTTTTCGTTAATTTTTTCCCCATTTTACTTTAACCTGTACAGCCATAATAGATTTAATTTAGATTTACATTTTATTTTTTCTTCAGTTTTCATTTTAATTTTAGTTGGTAATTTTGCTCTGTGTTTTTGTCTTTTTTTTTAGTTTTTGTTATTTCCCTTTATTTTGAATGATTTTGATATTTTTGGTTTCACTATAATTTTAAGTTAAAGTTTTGGTAATTTTGTGTTGTTTTTTTGTCATTTTTATTATTATTATTTATTTTTAACTTCACTTTAATCTCGACAGCTATAATGGGTTTAGTTTAGTTGTTCTGGGGCATTTTTGTTCATATTAGTTGCACTTTTGCCTCAAGACTCCAATTTCTGAAAACTTAACTTTTAAAGGTATCAGTGTTGGGAAGTAACTAAGTAAAGCATCAATTTAAACTAAATTAAAATACTTCCTTGCCAGGTAACTTAAATAGAATAAGTTAATTTATTGAGTTGTTTTTTTTTCTTTAACTTTTTATTTTATTTCAGGTAACATTTATTTTAAGAACAAAAATAATGATTATAATGAATAAACGATAAAAAAAAATTTTTTTTTAAGTATGAGTAGCTTTTAGCTTGGTTAAGCTTCTTGACTTTGTTTGCTGATTCCTTTTTTATTTACAGACTTCTGGTCTTTCTCTTCTGATGCACATTTGTTCACCATCTCTCTCTCTCTGTCGGTTTGCTGTTATTAGGAGATCGGTCACGTGTCGGTGGATATCACCGGCTCTCTGGAGGAACAGATGAATAATCTGAAGCAGTACGAGCAGAACATCATCAACTACAAATCCAACATTGACAAACAGGAGGGAGATCACCAGCTCATTCAGGAGGCGCTCATCTTCGACAACAAACACACAAACTACACCATGGAGGTATTCTGTTACAAACACAGGCTTCATTTTCAGAACAATCACTCATTTTTTTGTTTTGTGTTATACGGGGGACTGGGACTAGTTTCATGCTACCTATGAATATTTCACAGGCTTTTAAAATCAATTTTTTACACATACAAAACTTAAAGCCTTTACAAAGCAAAGATTTTACAAAGATTTTAAAACACATATTAGTCCTATAGTGGGGTAAGTTGTCACAGTGGAAACCTATCGTTTTATTGACACAAATTCAAGAGGAATGCCTTTATTTAAAATATAGTTAATGTAGCTTAAGTAAAAAAAAAAGCCATTTTCCATATCAGATATGTATTTAATGTTACTGTTTTTATTTTAAAATAATTATTTAATGATTTTTTTAGCACAATTTAAATAGTAAACCTATTATGAGTCACAACAAAAAAAAATCACGTTTTTATTTCTAAATAGTTTTTATTAACTTTCATTAGATTTTTTTCATTTATGTTAGAATGTCAAGTATACTGAATTACTGAATTGAATTTTAGTTAAAAAAGCGGAATTAAAATGAGAAATGTTTACTAATCTAACGTTGTTTTAGACTTTATTTCATTTCATTTTTGATGGTTTTAATTTTAGTTAACTATAGTAACCCTGATAATAGCACTTTTAGAGTTAATTTAAAACACAGACCCTATATTTTATATAAAATATAAAAACTAAGGTAAAAAAAAAAAAGTCAAAACATACATGTATTTAATATGTTTTTAATTTTCTGTTCATTTTTTAAAATACATTTTAGCTAAATTTAAATACAGAACTATAATGAATCACAAAAAAAATTTGGAAACAGCAAACAAGCAAAAGATAATTGACTTTTTATTTTATTTTTTATAATTCATTAATGATTAACCTGGTCTCTCCTATATATTTTAGTGATGTGTTCATAATAATATTTAGTCTAATAATAATATAAAGCTTTTTTTGTATAATGCCTTACCCAAACATAAAACCATTAAACGGAGCTTGCATAACAAATTCACATTACACACAGAACAGTAAGCATTATGAGAGGAATGATGAATGTTCAAGAGCCAGCAACAATTGACGATGGCTCTGTTTCTGGCATCATCCGTCATTCCCTCCTCCAGCACGTCCGTGTGGGCTGGGAGCAGCTGCTCACCACCATCGCTCGCACCATCAACGAGGTGGAGAACCAGATCCTGACCCGCGACGCCAAGGGCATCAGCCAGGAGCAACTCAACGAGTTCAGAGCCTCCTTCAACCACTTCGACAGGGTCAGTGAGACGCGCATCCACACTCACATCTGACCGTATGCAAGGGGACTCACTATTGTTTTTAACTTGCAGAAGAGAAACGGCATGATGGACCCCGACGATTTCCGCGCATGTCTGATCTCCATGGGTTACGATCTGGTGAGCGACGAGAAAACTCCTCCCACTCACATAAAACCCCTTCTGTATCGATATTACTAATGCACTGTGACAAAATCATTCATCCTCACCAAATTACATGCACATACAATTCAAATGTTTGGAGTCGGTAGGATTATTTTATGTTTTTGAAAGAAGTCTCTTTTGCTCAACAAGGATGCATTTTTTTATAAAATCAGGAAAATCAGTGAAATATTATTACAATTTCAAATAACGGCTATCTATGTGAATATAATGTAAAATGTAATTTATTTCTGTGATGCGCAGCTGTATTTTCAGCATCATTACTCCAGCCTTCAGCGTCACATGATCTTCAGAAATCATTCTAATATGCTGATTTGCTGCTTAAGAAACATTTTTGATTATTATCAATGTTGAAAACAGTTGTGCTGCTTCACATATTTGTAGAAACTGTAGTACATTTTTTTTTTTTTTTTTTTAGGATTTTTTGATGAATAGAAGGTTCACAATAACAGCATTTATTTTAATTTTTAACATATGTCTCTTTTTCTGTTACTTTTGACCAATTTAATAAATCCTTGCTGAATATGCGTATTTATACCTCTTTAAAACACCCCAAACATTTGAGCAGTGGTTTCAAAATAAGGTTTTTTAAATTCTCAAATATTTTGGCAACAGCATAAATACATTGTATCATATTTTTTTGAAATATAATTAAATACGTAAATGTAAATAAATAAACAAAACATAAATAAATCATTAATTATAAACAAATAATTCATGTCTAAAAATGTAAGCCTATCACACATTTGAATATTTTTGTTTTGAGCATTAAACAAATTAGTTTGTTAGAATAAATAACAAAAAAAAAATATATATATATATTAATTGTTATTTTTACATCATTTTTAAAAAGGCTTATTTCTTTAAGTTAAGCATGACTTTGCAGAAAACTTCTCTTTCATACTGAATCATTTACAAGTCAAGCCATCTTCTCAACCAGGAATAATTTCAATCTCAGTAGGCGCTTTGCTGGACACCAATAAGCACAAAGTTAAATGTGATATCTTGAATCTCATTGGCTGTTTCTGTCAGGGTGAGGTGGAGTTTGCCCGCATCATGACCCTGGTGGACCCCAACAACACAGGCGTGGTGACCTTCCAGGCCTTCATCGACTTCATGACACGCGAGACAGCTGAAACCGACACTGCTGAACAGGTCATGGCCTCCTTCAAGATCCTGGCCTCCGACAAGGTGAGATCAACATCCAGTGTTGCTGCTCTTTAATCCATTTGTGTCTGTTTGGCAAGCCGATTTAACATTTAATCCTTTAAACGTACTAGTATCTATTTTAGAATTTTTTTTTAGCTACTAGTGTCTATTCCATTAGGTACTAGTACTTATTCTTAAGCTACTAGTTTTTATTGTTTAGTTACTAGTAACTTAAAGATACTAGTTGCTATTTATTAGATACTAGTACTTGTTTCAATAGTGAGTAGTAACTATTCTGTTGTTACTAGTAACACATTTAAAATTTTTGCCATTGACGTCTATGGGGATCTGTCATTCACATATCAACGATTCAGTTCTGACTAGTATGTATTCCTATAGTGACTACTATCTTTTTAAATATTATAGTTAAGCACTCTGATTTTTTTACTCGTCTTAGGTTATGACTAGTCAGAATTGGCACTGTCGAGGCCACTGTAGAGGTTTGGTATAAGTATCAGTATCTAATAAATATGTACTAATATCTATTCAATAAGTATTAGTAGCTAATCAATAAGTACTAGTATCTCATAATAAGCACCACTGTATATTTAAAAGGTACATGTATCTAGAACTAGTACCTAACAATTAAATACACTAGTATTTATTCATTATATATTAGCACCTGTGAAATAGATACTAGTACTTATTGATTAGATACTAGTACTTATTTCAATAGTGACTAGTAACTGCTCTATTGTTGCTAGAAACACGTTTCGCATTTTTGCCATTGACTTCTATGGGGATCTGTCATTTAAATAGCAACTGTTCAGTTTTTACTAGTATGTATTCCAATTGTGACTAGTACATATTTTTATATACTAGTAGTTATTCATTAAGTACTAGTACTTATTTTTTAGATACTAGTACCTATTTTTAGATACTTGAACTGAATAGGTACTAGTATCGTATGAATGTACCAGTAACTCTGATAAATAAAATAACTAGTAGCTAATGAATAAATACTAGTATCATTTCAAAAGGTAGTAGTACCTAAAGAATAAGCACTAGTAGCTAATGAGTAAGTACTATTAGTTAATGGAATAGATACTTGTATCTACAAATTAAGTACTAGTAGTATGAAAATAAGGCTACACTTTATTGTAACAGGTGTCCCTGTTACAGTGTAATTATACATATAAGTACTGAGTAGTATTAATCAACTACATGTACTTGCTACATGATTAGGGTTTGGCTTAGGGTTACTTGCATGTAATTATGCATAATTTATTGTTATTATAATAGTAAGTACATGTAACATGTAACAAGGACACCTTAAAATAAAGTGTTACGAAAATAGATACTAGTATGTTTTAAGGATCAAATGTTAAAATGGCTTGCCATATAAGTATTAGTAACTAATAAATAACATCTAGTACCTAATGAGTAAGTACTAATACCTAATGGGAATAGATACTAGTAGCTAAAAAACTGAATAGATACAAGTATGTTTTAAGGATTAAATGTTAAAACAACTTGCCATATTGTCTGGGAGAATTCAGAATTAATTACGCTCGATGTTTATTTGCACACGTTTTAGTATCAATTTTAGTACAAAAACACAGTGAGAGTTGGTGTAAAAGTGTCTCTTCTTGTCGTTCAGCCCTACATCACCGTGGAGGAGCTTCGTCGTGAACTCCCACCCGAGCAGGCCGAGTACTGCATCAGCCGCATGACCAAGTACATCGGCCCTGAGGTGGCCCTTGGAGCCCTGGATTACATCTCCTTCTCCAGCGCCCTCTATGGAGAGAGCGATTTATAAACGCGCTGAATGTCTTTCTTTTTCTCTTTCTTTCCTCTCATCTTCCTCTCTCCTCTCGTTTTCTCCAAGCCCCCAAATGTAGCTTTCGATCTACAAGGGAGTTGGTAATATCCCTCGTTTCCCCTCTGTTTTTCTGTCTGCTAGCTTTAACATCATATTTGTACTACATCCACCCTGTAAAGGACGTGTAACGGGGGGGTTTAATCTCGCTGTCACTCAAATTGTGTTCAATTTGGATGCCAAACCCTCCTATATGCATCTCATATGATGAGTCTAAAGTCAGCATGGAATTAAACCAACCCCATTTACGTTCCTAATTCACGTTTTTGTGAATAATTCTTCATTGCAGTTTAGGATCTTTCATTGAAATGTAATAACTAATAATAATAATAATATAATAACGACTTTCGTTTTCAGATGCTGTCATCTAGGCCGGAAACAATCAAAAAGCTGCAATCACAATGTAAATGTAAAATGGGTTATAAACACCGTTTCATGTTGACTTTTGCACGCTGAGCCAAATCGTCCCTCTCTGTGCCAAATAAAACCTTCCAACATGGTAAAAGATATATTAAAAAGTGTGTTTGCTAAAGAGCGCTTGTGAAGATGCATGCTGCGTTGATTCTGCAGACATTAATATGCAAGAGAGCCCCCCTCTTCGTTAAGTCTGTACTTTATTTTAAGACCCCAAAAAGCACTACTGCTGTCCAGTGTCTTCTTAATATGAAACTGTGAGAACAACTGAATAGTCTCTACACAGAACATGGTGTCTCTGTATGTTGTGTTGTCATGTTTACCCCCTTAATATCGTTTATGATGTACGTCGTCACTGTTCGGAGGCAAATTCTTTATTTGTTTTCCTTCTATTTGGAGATTTTGTGCCAAAATTATCAACAAAAGCCAGTAACTGAACTTAAAGATGTAATGGCAGAGTGTATGTGTTGTACTGACCGGAAAGGTTTCTGCTAGTCAAAGAGCTAAACGAAAACCAGGTTTGCCTTAAAACCGACTGTAAGCACCAGGTACGTACAAGACAGTATTTTAAGAGTTTTGTTATTCACACTCCTGTCATTTAAAGGTAATAGTTCACTCAAAATAATAAAGTTCTGTCAATATTTACTCACCCTCATGTCATTGCAAGCGTTTATGATATTCTGTAAGTCTAAATCAGCTGACCAGGGTCTGTCAAGAAGTGTACTCCATATTATGTTTTGAAGATATATAACAGCTTGCGAAAAGCAGACCCTAATAAGGCCCGTTCACAAGAACGATAACTATATTAGCGTCCACACCAACAGACAATAACGTTCAGTTTATTATAAGTGCGCGCTTCCTTTGTCTTCTGCCGCTTTAAATGTTCGCGCGCTTTAACGCTGGGTGGATTCTGATTGGCTGTCGATGCTTTTTAACGTTCTGAAAAAAATTCTGAAAAAGTTAACAAATTGTTGTGGCGGGAACGTCCCGATTTTTCACAGAAGGATTATATAAGGCTTTATAGTTATCTGTGAAGACAAGAAAAACATTATGGTTTTAAATGCGAGTGAATGATGACGGTTTTTATTTTAGGGGAACTATTCCTTTGAGAGCAGTGTTGGAAGTTTTGGAAGGAGGCAGAAGGTTCTGATACCTTCATCCTCAGGCAGGCCTTGACGTCAAGGATATGGTCTAGTTTCTATTGGCGATATTTAAATAATTTCAATTACAGATGTTGTTTGTTGATGATTATACATCATGATGTGATTTCTGGGTAAAAGTATTTCACTGACCTTTCAGGTCGCCTCATTGTGATCACCTCTCTGTCTCCGATGGGTCTCCATTTCCTCGAACGCCTTTCAAACACAGAACAATTAAAAGTTAAACCAAAAAACCCAGAATAAAACATCTCAATCGGCTCTTTTCTGTACGTGTCGTTTGTTGTCTGTTGATTGTGTGTTAATCTTTGGTGCCTGCAGTCGGGGGAGCGTTAGGATGAACTAACAGTAGATGAAGGCCAGTTCTTCTCAACGGTCAGCTGTGGGTTTCAGGGATTGAAGCCTTGGATATTGTTGACAAAGCTCTCAAATTTTTATTTCACTTTGCCTTTCAAATAAAGTTTTGTTCGTAATAATTCACGCGGCTCGCAATAACTTTTGCACATTTATAATCGTTATTATAACAGTTTTGGAAATTAACAATAACTAGGAACTTAACAAATAGGCCTAATAGAGATTTGAAATCCAGATCATATAATGCTAATATGTTTTTATATAAAAACAATAATATTGATTATAAAATAATATAATACAATTATATTGTATAAAAACAATGTAAAAGCAAAAATATTTTTTATTTTATAACTAATGCAATTTTGTTGTATTCAGATTTTGTACTTATTAATAATAATAATAATTATGACCGTTTAAATAATGTTAACAGTTAACCGTTTTTATAAATAATGTTCCATGAAATCAGGAAAATTATGTAAAAACAACAATTACTGTAAAAAGCTTCAGAATATAAATTAAAAGCTCATTTTGAGAAAACAGCCTTTAAAGATATGCACTGCAATATCTGATGATACTGAAATATCTACAAATGCAAATAGATAAAGTGCAGTTAAACAAACACTTAAATGTGTATTCTGGGTGTTTCTTTACACTAGTCTGAAAGAAGATCGGTTATTTTCAGGACTCACAAACGCATTCTGAAACCGAACTCACACATGTCGGTTAATGAAGATTTGACGAACTCGCGGCTCGATTGGACTCTTGTCGTGTCAGAAAGTGATAAGACTTTCAGTTTTATGCACGTCGCCATCTTTGATTTTCCTTTGGTCACTGTCGCTATGGTTACTGGTCAGGAATACGTGCTTGATTCCCGTTGCACCAGACAGTGTTCTAAACGCAACTGTAAGCTGCTGTGTGAACGGGACATTTCGAGACTCACACCTGTAAAGAAAATGCGGTTGTCAATCCCAAAAACTAACAGTGTGAACGTGGCCTTAGTATCATTAGGTTGGCTTGAGAAAGCTTATCTGCTATTTAAGCTTCTTATTATTAGCTTTATATAAGAAGATATATTTAGCCTATAGCTTTCAAGCTAGAACCACCAAACTCAGCCCAGATCTTTCAGACTGTTCTGACTTTAGTGTGGTTTGTCTTTTCAGACTGATCCGACTTATAGTTTTCATAAAACTGAAGATTAAAAATCATAAAAATCCCATAGACTTACATTGACGGAATGTTCAGATGAGCCAAGACTATTCAAACTCCAACTGCCAAAATTCAAATCTAAACTCCCAGAATCCCTTAAGACTCAATAAAGCTTCCCTTCTATGTACTATTTCTAATCCATTCAAACTCATCTATCTAATATTTATTATCTATCATCTATCTATCTATCTATCTATCTATCTATCTAGCTATCTATCATCATGCTAGAAACATGATAGTGACATGCTAGTAACTTGCTAATCATGCTAGAAACATGCTAGTCACTTGCTAATCATGCATGTAACATGCTAATTATGCTAGTAACATGCTAATCATGCTAGAAACAGGCTAGCAACATGCTAGTAACTTGCTAATCATGCTAGCAACATGCTAATCATGCTAGAAACATGCTAGCGACATGCTTAGTGTGATGAATGCATGCTAACAACATTCTAGTTAATTGCTAATCATGCTAGCAACATGCTAGTAACATGCTAATCATGCTATAAACATGATAGTGTCATGCTAGTAACTTGCTAATCATGCTAGAAACATGCTAGTCACTTGCTAATCATGCTAGCAACATGCGTGTAACATGCTAATTATGCTAGTAACATGCTAATCATGCTAGAAACAGGCTAGCAACATGTTAGTAACTTGCTAATCATCTAATCTGTCTATCTACATTTTCAAACTTCAAGCTTTTACAGCTGCTTTAAACTTTGACAAACTTTTTTATCTAGTTCCGTATTGCTTTATAAACACAGATTATACCATATATGGTAATATAACACTGGACAATTTCACAAACCAGCTGTATAATCTGACACATGCTATCTAAAGAATAGTGTGATGAATGTTGACTATGTGCCAAACTGCACATACCTCCAAAGATGCACAATCAAGAGTGTTTAAAAAAGCTGTTTAACTTGCTTCATCCTTGGCATTTTCCAGGTCAGAATATTTTACATTAGATTTCCATTACATTTCCATTTAGTAGATGGTTTTATCCAAAGCAACTTGCAAATTAGGAAAAACAATAATAGCAGGGCTGCAATACCTAATTAGAAGAGTAGTATAACACTGTCTCCATAAATTAATAACAAATCATCGTTCTTTTCTGTGCCCTTTTACTTTTTTCTCCTGGTAATATTTATGACGATAATATTGATTTATGATTATGGATTAGGTAAATGTCAATGGAAAAATAAATCAGGAAAAAAAAAATTCTTACAAAATAGCATTGATTCGCTACAGGTGGCATTTATTCATCTCCTGGTGTGAGGCACTTTTTATTATGGATGGATGCGCTTTATTGGACTTCTTTTGGACTGTTGAAAGAAAACACCCGCCCATGCCGTTATAAAGCTTGGAAGAGCCAGGACAGTTTTTAATATAACTCTGATTGGATTCGTTTTTAATTTTTCATTCATTTTTAGGTTTTTATGACAGGTGCTCTTTTATTGAGAAATTTACTAGCTTTTATATGGCAGGTGTGACACGTTAGTTGAAAAACAGCACTCTTAAAAATAAAGGTGCTTATCGATGCCACAGAAGAACCCTTTTGTCTAAATGGTTCCATAAAGAACCTTTAACATCTGAAGAACCTTTCTGTTTCACAAAAGGTATTCAACTTAATTCCAGTCCAGTCTTGCCAGTTAAATCTTTTCTTTTACTCAATCAATCTGTAATTTGTTGGTTAAAACTCAAAGGCTTATGAACACATGCTTCTATTAACAGGAAGGCTTTGGATTCACTGCAGAATAAGCCGGAGTGTAAACTGAGGACCATATAGGAGTGATTTGTCTAATTCTCATATTCAGGCAAGTATAAATCTATGCTTAGATTTGCATGATATAAAATTATTGTTGTTATTTTTTACCTATTCTTCACTGCATAATATAAAATTGTGGTTGAATGTTTTAGATCATTGTTTTAATATCACAAATTGTGTCTGTTCATTTACAGGGTGACCTAGCTCTCATGACAAGCCGATAGAGTGGACACTTGAGGTGTGGGGAGGAAGACAGACTGATGGTTTTCATGTTGGTTCATGTTTTTTTTCTATATTTTATACCTCCTGGGGTCGAAACTGTGTATGGTGCAGCAAATGCAGTTCATGTTGGTAATGGAGATTGAATTGTATTACAGAACAGCAGACACTTGAAGTAGCATTCAATCATACTTTATTTGTTTTCTATTTTAATATCACCAGTGGAGGTATACATGCTTTGTTGATTAATGGCACTTTTTATGAGGCTTTACTGCACCTTGTGCAGTAAATGCAGTTCATGTTGGTAATGGTGATTGAACTGCATTACAGAACAGCAGACGCTTGAAGTAGCATTCAGTCATACTTTATTTTGTATATTTTCAGTAGACCAAATATTACCAGTGGAGGTATGCATGTTTTGTTGATTAATGTCACTTTTTATGAGGCTTTACTGAATGCACCTTTAAAAACGTGTGTCCAGACTTTAGTAGGTCATGTGAATGTGACTGATTCACTTTTATTAATGTTGGAAAAATAAAGAGTTGAATTGTATTTTAGTTGTGTGATTTGTGATAAAGGTATAGACCAGAGGTTCTCAACTCTGGCGCTCGAGGTCCATGTCCTTGCAGAGTTTAGCAACCTGTAACTTTCTAGTAATCTTGAAGACCTTGATGAGCTTGTTCAGGTGTGTTTGATTAGGGTTAGAGCTAAACTCTGCAGGAAAGTGGACCTCGAGGGCCAGAGTTGAGAACCCCTGGTAGAGACAAAATGAATACAGTTTATGTGGTTATATTAATAAAAAAGAAATTAGCAATGTTTGGATAATCATAGGGAGTAATGAGTAATATATAAACTAAGTAAATGGGACATCTCGATCAAAACATATATAATAAAATCTACTTATTTACTTTTTACTTTAGTAGGATTTACTTAATATTTTTATAAATGCAAGGTTCATGTCTATAACATAAATAAACTTTACTTAATTACTTTAAATAAACACTTTTAAATTAAATATAATTATGTAATATTTACTTAATTTCTTTACGAATGTTAAGTTCAGTAGTAAGTAGATTTTACTTGACAATAACAGGTAAATTGTACAGAGCAGTAGCAGTAAATTTGACTTAAAATGTGTTGTTGTTACAAAGATCTTATCAAGTAAATCCTACAAGGTTTTTTTCATTTCATATATATTTAAATAGAAAACAGTTATTTTAAATTGTAATAATATTTTACAATATTGCTGTATTAGTACATTGTACTTATTTTTTGATGTAAGTACATAGTAGTTAAAGGGGTCATATGATGTTGCTAAAAAGAACATTATTTTGTGTATTTGGTGTAATGAAATGTGTTTATGCG